CTATAAGACGCAATCCACCCCCCAAAAAAAGTGGGTGGAAATGTCTGTGTGTCTTATACAGCGAATATTGCGGCGGGGGTGGAGAAGGGTTGTCACTACAGCTGCCACTCGCTGCTGCTGGGGAATGCTGCAGCCCTCCCCGCCGAGCAGGTGCTTGGTGCTTGGATGGGCCTTCCGGAATACTGCTGATCAACTGTTCTAGGCAGCGGGGATCACTGATGTCGCTCACCGCCACTACCAATCACCGCCGCCGAATGCAGCAGTGGCGATTGGCTTCAGTGGCGATTGGCGGCAGCGATTCCTGCTACCTACAACAGCTGATTGGCTGTATTCTGGGAGGTCAATCCAACTGCTAATCAGCTGCTCGGCAGCAAAGGCTTCAGTGTTCCCCGGTGGCAGCAGCAGTTCAGCTCAGTTGACTGGTGATGGGCGCAATGAAGAGGATCCCTCACAAGCCATGTGCTGGGGTTGCAATAATGTGCTGAAGCTGACCAGGCTGTTTGCTGTTTGCTGCAAGGACGCTAGCCAGATGAATACTGGATGGATGCTGGGAGGGGGAGACAGATTTTTTTTTCTTGTTTTCCTCCTCTAAAGCTAACAGTTGACATGGGGAATGCATCTACCAATTTCATAATAAAAGTCTCTTCATACTAGGAGCCTCTGACGCCTGCATTCTAGTGATTGCATTAATTTCAAGTTTCTAACTCCAACCAATTATGACCTTAAAGATGTAGACCATTATATCAAGGACACTTTATCTTAGCAATTACCTGAGAAAGTTTTAGAGCAGTTGTTATTAACTGGCCAAAATGTGTATTTCAGTTCATGTCTAAGCACTCCATACTGCACTAGTGTATTAAAACCTTACCTGGACATGAAATAAGGTCTTTGTCACTGGGATGGCCAGGTATAAATCTAAAAGCATGTACTAAAGGATTATCTTTACCTAAACTTCCACTAAAAATTGCGCTATTTACATACCCATCTATATAAATATTTATATATTTCCTATGCAATTTGAGAAAAGCTGACATTCAGTGGTAAAGACTTATGGGCAGAAATCCCAGTTCAATCCACCTGCATCTTCAGGTAAATTGGAAAACATACGGAAACTATCAGTGACTAAATGCACACATCTGTTGAGTGTACCAGCCAAGACTCTACCAAGTGTGTTTATTCCATATGTTATAATTGTATAATCCATGGCTTAGAGTAATGTGTGAACCAAGTGGGTAATAGTGCAGTTCACATTCATTACACCAAAATTATACAAATTATAGTTTAGCGTTCATGGACCAAGTTGGTGTGGTGGCAATCCATAACCCTAACATTACTGTTTTAACTCTACCAATTCTCAGTAAAGCCACAATGTCTTTGTTGTAATATGTTATGTGTAAATTTAAACTGCAAGGACAGAGCATTGACATCAACTTATTAAACAGAACTTTCCTAATGAGATTTAGTTATTGGCAAGAACATTAAATGTATACGAAAATAAAACACTCAGAATATTTTGTTTCTATCTATTTTAATGGACTATTTAAATATGACAAAAGGATGTAGTTACATATAAACATTCATTAAAACACAATTGGAGTCTTCAAGGGTTACAATTAGGAAAGAACTTCCCAGCAGCTGCAAGCCAGTAAACCTTTCTTTATCTGCTGTTTATATAGAAGGCTTATTATTCAAAAGCAGGACAAAGAATACCTAGGCAGGAGATAACCAGCTATTATACTTAAGCACGATGTGCAAAGACAATCATAACCTTAGAAATCATGTGTAAAATTCTCTAAGAAAAAAGGACTTACTGTAACAAAGGAGACCGCAGAAGGATCTTGATATTGTACTAATAAAGTCTCCACTGGAAGTTGGATTTTTGGGCGACTTTTGATTCGTTTGTTCAGATGAACTAGCAATTCCATAACCTAAAAAGAAAAAAATATCATTCCTTCATTTTATTGATCTAGGTTTCATTTCCCAATTGTGAAATATAATAAATAAAATATCTATATTATCAAATGTCCTATTTGTCTTTCCATTTGACCTTTCACAGAAAAAAAAGAAACAAGTGACTATATTATTTGGACCTGAACCTGAGAAAGAATTACAAGGTAACAATATTTGCAATGGCTTCAAGGAATATATTATTATGATATACAGCTTCCAGCTTGAGGGGAAACACAGCTTACTCAAACAAGGTTGGATCTGGTTAGTACTTGTATAGAAGATCATCACACAAACTCTTGGCTGGAAAGGGCAACTGAAAATGCACCCCGGATGAAAGCAATAGCTTTGTGTTGAAAATTACATGTTTTCATCAAGTGATCATGAGTTAAATTCGTCTCAAAGGACACTCTATCTATATATAAAACCAACAGGGGAAGATTATTAAGCATTTCATGTTTGACAGACTTCAACATACAGATAATATTCATACCTTTTTACGCACTCCTTCCTGTGTACTCGAAAGTTTCAAAAGAACAGGGGGAAGGAATTTGGATATAATATTCTGCAATTGCTCATCTGTTTCTGCATGGCCGAGACGCAAAAATACACGTTCAAGCTGATCTAAAATAAAGGGAAAAAACCCTGATCTATAACTAACAGCAAACAGTTCAAATAAGCACTGTTATACCAGCAAGTTCAGCATTAAATAGTAGCTTAGTTCTCAATTGATTTTACTAATGACCTTATTGCAAGGTTACCCTGCATTTGTCATGTGTGTTTTACACAGATGCAACACATATTTAATACCAGAAAGTTTAGGGAATTATTTATTAAATGTATATCTCCCTGTCTAGTGATTCTTTGTTTTGTTCAAGGGAAGGAAAAAAGAGACCCATCTGCTTCTAATTCGATCACTCTAGTTTGCTGTGATTATTACATATGTGCATCATTGGATAAAGATTTCTTGAACAAGTAAGACTGAATCACACTTAGAGCATAAAAACTCTGCCACTGCTTTTGGGTCACATACTTTTTACATACTTTTACACAAATCGTAATGTATTCTATTAAATGCAAATTTTAATTTATGAAATAAATGCTACTTTGATCAATGAAGGAAAATTTTAATCAAACAGATGATAGGCTCAGGACACATTATTTTATGTACTCAGATTTTGGTGAATAATTGCAGTAGTACAATAGAAAAATAGTTGCTTTTTTGTTCTCAATGTATTAAAAGACAAGTCATGTATAATACGTATATATTAGATCTGGCTATTATTGAGAAGTCAATATGCAAAATTTAAAACAAAATAAGTAAATTACCTTACTTTTTTATTATAGATTGCACTGCCTTCAGTTATATCATTTGATTCTCTGAGAACATTGAATCTAATGAAGTCAAATTTCCTCTTAAATTTTTAAAGAACATATGATTTTTTCCTTATAAAGAAAGCATCTTACTAATTTGCAAAGTATATCCCTTATATTCAGAAGTAATAATTTCATGCTATAATATAGTATTTCCCAATTCTAGATTAATAGACTGCAGAACTTCATGGACCATAGTTCTGTCTATAAAGATAGTTCTTGACTATATATATTGTTTTCTTTTTGGATTGTAAGACAACCAGAGCTTAGCTTTAAGGAGAATGGCTAAAGAAATGTTTTAAATAAGTAAAAATAAGTTCATAGAGAAGAAAAGCAGGGACAATTGCATCATGGCATATATTACAAACCTTCCAAGATTCACTACCTAAATTCAGTACAAGTAATCATGTTTTATCTTTAAAAAATCTCACTTAGCAACAGAAATTTTGGATTCAATTGTGGTCATAAATCGAGGACTATCTGTACACATTTCTGCCTAGGGTAATCTCAGCCATAATTAGAAAAATGCAAACTGTCTTACTCTGAGATAGTTTACACAATCTACCTTGAATTGCTCAATGTATCATGCTGTCTCATCCAGGGAGGATTATGAACAGAAAAAAAAAAAAACATTTATTCTTACTTAATCTAAGAGAGACACAAACCAGAGAGTACTACTCCAAGCCAAATTTCAGATGTGAAAAGGGAAGCCAGGGTCATTTGAAAGTGAACTCAAACCCAGTCAAAATACCCTGCACAGACCTCATTTCCTTATTTTTTTAATGACTAATCAGGATAAATGGATTTCAGAGACTTCTAATATATTTTGATACAGTAAGAGGAAATATTTCATTATGTAATCAATTTATTCAAAAGTAAACAGAATATACGTTGGTTTTAAAAATTAAAATTATTAAGTCTGATAAGAGCAAAAGTACGGGAGAAAATAAATATCGTATCTAAAATCTAATAGCATTAATCTAGAACACAAAATATCCTAGTTAAAGTGAGGAGGGAAATTTGAATGTTTCACAATTGTGTGTGTGTGTGCATGCACATGCATGCACACGTGTGTTCCAAGGCACAATGTTCTCCTTGACAAGAGAAATGAAAGTTCTCCAACACAGTAGACACAAGATGGTACTCATAAAAGAGCAAAATGACAACATAAATGGATCTGAGTAATGTAAACATAAATTATTCTATTATAATCTTAACAGAAAAAAGGTTTTATTTTAGCCATTCTAGGAGTATGAAAAAACAAAATATGGGCTGTTTGTTTATGACAAAATGAATCTTAAATCTGAGATTGGTTATATAACATTTCAAGATATATAAAGATATTCAGTTTCATATAGCATCTACATGTGCTAAACTTCCAACTGCTTGTACTAGTAATTTATATTTCAAAACTTTAATATAACAGCAACTCTAGCTTGGCCCTACAAATTAGCATAAAACCATATTTCAGCAACAAAACCACTGTATGAGTACTTATTTTCATTTTTCCCACTGCTGTACGACAAACAACTGTTAAATTTTAAACTGTACAAAATTATGACAAATTATGGCAAGTTTACCCAACAGGAATTTTCTATATGTACTGTAGAGTACTTCAACTTGCATTGCATGAAACCATATAGTTAATAAGTAATCCTCACTTACTGATTGCCTCATGCAACAACTGTTGTTACAATGGTACTTAAAAAATAACACTGCAACTGATTGTTGCATTTACAATTGCGGCATCCGTCAACAACACAGTAGCCATCAGGTGCTTTGCAACAGGTGTGCATTTATGACCGCGGCAATCATGATTGCTATTTATGTGTTTCTCAACCAGCACACATTTTTCCTTGCGACAAGCAGAGTTAATACAATACAGCAAAATTGTAACCTCAGTAGCAATTCACTTAGCAACTGTTTTACTTAAAGACCAAAGGGAAAGTAAAATTATAAGTCCAATTGCAGTCATGTAATTTTCTATTTAGCAACCAGGTTGACAATCCCAACAGTGGGTGCTTAGCAACATGTAACCACCATAGCAGGAGAACACTGTCTAGTCTAGTGCATGGTTGGAGAAAACAGTATTACAGTCTAAGTCTTCCTATAATTTATTCAGTTAAAGGCATGACATGTTAACAATTACAAATACACAGAGTGAAAGGTGTGGTTGTGGAGATAGGAAACAATTTCAGGGAATTATTTAAATTGTGTATTATTTAAAATATTATTTTTAATTTCAAAAGAGAATCCTATTTTTTTAACTTATTCATTTTATCTGTTTTTATTTAATCAAATACTGAGACACTTTCTTACTTATTTCTTAGTTTCAGTAATAAAATACCTTGAGCCAGAAAAAATATAGATTAATTTTTAAAAGAAAGAAACTAAGTTGCCCCTCTCACTCTAGGAAAAATAAAGAGCTATAGTGCAATATGGGAAACTTCTCAAAAATGGAAGAAAATACTGATCTGATAAATAGACAAAAGAAGGAACAGGTCATTCCCAACTTACAATTGCAATTGAGACCAGAATCTCTGTTAAGCAAGGCAGTTGTTATATGAGTTGCACCCAATTCTATAATTTTTGCCATGGTTGTTAAACAAATCACTGCAGTTATTAAATGAATCATGAGATCATTATGAGAATTCGGCTCCCCCAATGACTTTGCTTGTCAGAAGCCAGCTGGGAAGGTTGCAAATGATGATCACATGATCCTAGCAAGAGACACCTGCCAGAGAAACATGCCAGTTGCCAAGCACCTCGGTTTTGATCATGTGGGGATGCTGTAAATTTTAAGCGTGACAACTGGCTGTAGGTCACTTTTTCAGTGTCACTGTAAATTCGAACTGTTGCTAAACAAATAGTTGTAACTCAAGGTCTACCTCTAGTGAAATGTGACATGAATCAATGCATGAGCAGAGAATAAATATCAGTAGAAAATAAACTTAGAGGCGGCAGAAAATCCTTGGGATGACTTCCAAATGCAATATCCCTCTTCCTCTATCATTGGAATAATGACACATTCTGGAACCTATCATGTGGATAGAAATAGGCTTAGAATAAAATGGAAAAAATAGGGGAAATATAAGGATTTCCTTCCCCCATTTTCCCCCCAAGGCTTTCTCATACCCAGGTTAACACCTTTCTCCACCAATGTTGTTCCAGGTTTCCAAACTTCACAATCCAAGTGTAAAGAGTTTCTTCACCACTGTTGTCCCAAATCTCCAATAGCATAGCACATATATTTTCCTTTTGTTTTAAGATCTTTACTGCATAGAGTTATATACTGAAATAATAGTTTCTTGATATTTGGGCTAGGGTTAAAGATTAAAGTTCCCATACTACAAGCATTGAGCAGTTCCCAATTGTCTACATAAACAGACATACTTTCATGGGGGTACCAACATCTATAGATGTATTTATGATTATTTTATTTATTTACAGTTTTTGTAGCCTGGCCCAGTGCATAACGTTGGATAGAGTATAACAAAGTAATAATAATAATAATGCAATTAACATCTGCCTATCCAAGATCCTTGGGAAGGTGGATAAAAATATCAAATCCAATCTGAACATCTATGTAACTGTGGGATGAACCATAATAATACATAGGTAACTCAAACTGAAATCATAGCAAAGCAATATTTGTTTGAAATCACCTTCCAAAGTGCATGAAGCGCTACACGAAAGTTATACAACATGAGGATTACATCTAAAAAGACAGTCTTCTTGTCCTTAGCCCTCAACCTCCAATATGTGAAGGAACTGGAAACAGGCTCTCTCATCATGTTCCTACTGGCTTGACAGATTCAATCTTAGCTATGCAGGGGGTACCAGATGTAATCTAATGTCTTGCAAAGTACTAAATTAATTGCACAAGGCTTTATGGACAGGGCTGTCCTGCACAGCCATAATATATTTATAGTATTAGAATCCTTTATTAGTATAGGTTAATAGATGTTGACTTTTAAACATTTACTTAAACTAATTAGATAACAGGAGAAAGAAGTGTTTTCTCAACGATTCTGGAAATAAACAGAAAAGTTGTGCTGTCTTTCATGCTCTCCAAACTAGTCTTCCTGATTCCTCCCTAATGGACTACAATAACCACAATTCCAAATCAGAGTAGATTTTGACTAGGAATCATGGCCAACAGGTTTGAAAAAGCTACAGTCAATCATTCATATGTATCACTAAATTTCTCAACATTCTTTGTTCAGGCATGGTATAAAATCATGCAAGTTTAAAGAGAAAGATTACCTACTCAAGATTGGATAATATTTACTCCAAATAAAGAAGTCAAAAACGTTATTACAGGGATGCCTTATCCAAACATCAAAGACACTGCAATTAAGGTGCAATTGTTCCTCGTCCAAAAACCTTTAATTCCATGGAGTGCAATGGTACTTTCTCCTAAACTATTGCATAATCTTGTAAATTCATTAGTACATCTTCCATACATATATACAACTACCTGTGAACACAAATGAATTTGGGCCACTCCCAATCCAGCTTCTTTCACAGGTTTGTGTTGTGGATATAAAACTGAGGAAAGGTGCCTACTACAGGTAACCCTTGATTTACAACCCAATTGAGCCCAAAATTTATATAGACATTTGTTAAGTGAGTTTTATCCCATTTTACGACTTTTCTTGCCACATTTAAGTGAATTACTGCAATTGTTAAATTAGTAACACTGTTGTTAAGTGAATCCAGCTTTCCCATTGACTTTACATGTCAGAAGGTCACAAAAGGGATCACATGATCCAGGGACACTGCAACCGTCATAAGCATGAACCAGCTGTCAAGCATATGAATGAAAATCACATGACCCTTGGGATGCTACTACAAGTGTGAAAAATGGTCATAAGTCACTTTTTTTCAGTGCCAGTCAAGGATCATGTGTATGCTAATATGCCCAGCCTTCTTGAACTCTGCGGGCTATATAGGCAATAAATAACTGCACATTTTTGACACTTTATTTTTGTGTGTAATATAAACATACAAGTATGTTTTTGAAACCATACTTCTTTGTATATATTACACACACATATATATTACACACACACACACACCTATATGTGAGTGCACACATACCTATGTGTATGTGTTTTGATATGTATCTGTATGTTCAGGTAGTCCTGGCCTTATAACATTTCATTTAGCAACCATTCAGTTACAATGGCACTGAAAAGTGACATGATCATTTTTCACTTATGACTGTTGCAGCATCCTCACGGTCATGTGATTTACATTCAGATGCTTATCAACTGGTTCATATTTATGACGGTTGCCATGTCCTGGGGTCATGTGATCCCCTTTTGCTACCTTCTGACATGCAAACTCAATGGGAAAGCCGGATTCACTTAACAACGGTGTTACTATTTAACAACCGGTGATTCACTTAAGAAACGTGGCGAACAAAGTGGCAAAACGGGGCAAAACTTAACACATTTCTCGCTTTGTAACGTAAATTTCGGCCTCAATTGTAGTCATAAATCAAGGACTACCTCTATGTACTATGCACGAATCCATGCATACATACATACACACACACACACTCAAGCTTGCCTCAGTGGCAAAGACTATAGTAATTTCCTGTCACAAAGAAGCATTTCCCGGCCATACCACGCCTCACCGAGCAGGCCTCAATAACTTAGATGTGGAATGGGAAGTGGAGCACCACATTTTAAAAGGGCAAGAGGGACGGCGAAACGGAACCGGCAAAAATGCGTCTCGAAACGGCCAAGTCACCCTCTGCACTTGCAATACCCAACACCCTTCTCTTATGGGGGGGGGCTAAGGGCGAGGGGGTAAAGGCACATCGGAAAGACCGGCCGTCGCCAAATTGGGCACTGCAAAGGGCGGAGGGCCTTTCTTCCCCGCCCTCCAACTCAAAAACACCCTGCACGGTTCTCCCAAGGCCGGATCTTAATCCCCGGGGAAAAAGCAAAGTCACGGCGGGGCCTGCGCTTTCCACCAGATTTTTAAGAATCCGACTTTGAGAGGAGGAAGGCAATCTGGAATTCCCTCCAGTGAAGAGGGCCCGGGGGGGGGGGAGGAATCCCCCCCCCTTCTCGCAAGGACTAACTCTCTGCACCCACATATCTTTAAAGGGGGAGGTCGAGAGGAGGAAGGGATGGGTGGGGTGGGGTGTGTGTGTGTATCAGTGATCTCCGAAGCGCCCATATCCCACATATCTTTGGGGGGGGGGCAGAAAAGGGATGTGTGGGATGATGTATGTGTGTAAAACAGTGACCCAAAGCGCTCATACCCACATATTTTTAAAGGGGGGGGGGAGGGAGAGAAGGGATGTGTGGGATGGTGTTTGTGTGTGTGTGTGTGTGTGTGTGTGTATAAAACAGTGGCTCAAAGCGCCGTATCCACATATCTTTAAAATGGGGAGGGGGAGCGAGAGAAGGAAGGGATGTGTGGGATTGTGTGTGTGTCTGTGTAAAACAGTGACCCAAAGCGCCCGTACCCACGCATCCTTAAAAGGAGGGGGGGGGGGAGAGAGGAGATTTGTGTGAGAGAGAATCAGTAACCGAAGAGGCTAATTCGGAGGACGGGGTCGTCCCCTCCTCCCATCATCCTGAAGCTTTTTAAGGTCCATTTCCTAATATGACTCTGCACAACCGAGGCCTAATGGCCGGGGCTCCTCCTCACCCTCCCCCACACCCGATCCTGCATCGCTTATGAGACAACCAGCTTCCACCCCCCAGTTCTCTTATTGTCTTTCTTTCTTTTTTTTTTGTAAAGGTCTCCCGTTTCCGAGGTGGAAAGTACCCATCCAGTCGGGAGGGGGAAGGAATTACACCCTCCCCGAGAGAGGCCCAGGGGTGCCTCCCGAAGGCCTGAAGCACGCGCTTAAGAAAGCCGATCCGTTAAAAGAAAGCATTCACACGCTCGAGAGGGCCAAATCGCCCCCTTTTCAACGGGTCCGTACGAACAATGTCCTCCCCTCCCCGCCGCCGCCGCCGGACCCCCACTTACTCTGCTCGTCTTGGGCAGCAGAAGCGGCCGCAGCCATGTTGTCAGCTGGGAAGAGAGAAGGCGGCTTTAAGCCGGCAGTTCTCCTCGCTCTGGGCTGCGAGGCGATGGAGCCGTAGGGAGCAGAGGAGAAGGCAACTGGGGTGGGGGCTTCAGTCCTCCTTGGCCTTCAGCTCCCTTCCTCGAGGCTTCCCCCCGCGACTAAGCTGCCAGAGAAAGGCGTCCAAGGGTGGAGGGGGGAGGCCGATGGTTGATTTTTTCTCCTCCCTCCTCTGACTCCCCCCTCAAAACGCCAACCGCAGTTGAGAGACACACAAAGCTTAAATAACCTGGCAAATATCTTCTTCCCTGCCTGCCTCGTCTTCGTACACGCATGCACTCCACCCTCTCCTTTTTTACTTTTACTTTTTTATAGATTGAAAAAGAACGGGGCGGCGATCGAGTCCAGCTCCTTCTCTTTAACCACTTCCTCCTTGGACTGCCTACACAGCTACAATGGTGTCTCCTTTGGCGCACCAAGCTTTTATATATATAAAACGCCCCTACGTTCCTCGTTCGTGATCTACGATTCCCCCCCCCCCTTTCATTTCATTCATTCAGTACTTTCCCGAGAATGCCGCTGAAAGGAAATTACCTGAATCCATGCTGACCTCCATGATTGGCAACATGTGTACAGTGTACACATACACATTACATACACACACACTCCTACACCCGTTTCCCCCCCACCTCAAGGGGTGGTGGAGAAAGGATCAGCAATCTTTTTAAAAAAAATGAGTTTCTCCCCCTATCTGCAGAAGGTATTTCTAACAAGCTGACTCATTCCTACCTTGAAAGGTGTTCAGTTAGGTTGGTTTTAGAAAACCTGAGATAATTTTCATGCACAGGCCTCCTAAACATATGCTATCCATTGGGGCCAGGAACTCAGTAGTTAAACAACCTTCAAGCAGAGATGTACTGTACCTTTTTTTCTGCTGAAAAAATCTTTATATTTATAGATACATACACATCTATAGATATAAAGCCAAATATCACTCACTCATCACAAAATCTCCAGAACTGTAAAGCCTACAAACTTGAAATTTGAGATGTATGTTCCTCTTAGCTTCTAGGTGCTTGCTAAGAAAGGATTTTTCAAAATGACCATCAGATCATTAGTATTTTTATACAATAATTAACATGTTCTGATGCTAAGGAGTTCTACTCCTCCTCCCCACCTGAAAATAACTCTGTTCTGACTGCCAGTTGCCTCACATTCAGCTACTTTAGTTCAAACTGGCAGACGTTCCACTTCTTTACTTGGGAACAGTCTGGGGCTCCTTACAGTACTAAATGTGGGTATCTCACCAACATGTCTACACCTTCCACCAATGGAACTGCTTCTGGACTCAAGGTGGTGGGAACACTATTCCCTTATGTCTAATACTGAGCCAACAGATTGAACCGGAATGAAACGGATTTCCCCTGCACTTCCCGATCACAGTTTCGGCCCAAAGCACGGGTATCCAGCTAGTAAATTTATAAAGGAAAAATAGGGATATTTAAGACAGCTAGGAAAATAGTCGTTTTAGATCTCTAAAATGTGGCTGTTGTTGATGTCCTAGCAAGCATGGGATGTAAAATGTAGTCCTAATGACTACTGATGCAGTCGTTAAGTGGAGCACAGGGTGCCTTGGGTGGGAGAGGCCCTGATGTTGGAAAGAGACTGGCAGAGTTGGGAGAAAGGGTCAAGCAAGGGAGTAGTCTAGAATCTTTACATAGACATAAGAGAGCAAGGTCCCACCCACTTCCTTGAATGTGGTTGAACTTTATTTAGTCTTTCCCAGGGGCAAACTGCCAGACTAGGAAGATTCCTATGAAATGGGTAATAGAACATTAAAGTATCTAGTTTAAATTCTTCAGGTGTGGGTCTAATTATTCTCACATGACATCTGGGAGATCTAGCACAGGCACATCCCATTTGCCCCAGGCCTTTCAATACCTCTCCCATCTCCTGAGGCATCCCCTTCCCCACTTCTCATCCCTTGGGTTCCCTGTAGGCCATGGGCCTACTTTCCCCCACCAAACCAGGTCCCCCACAGACCTTGATTCTGCTCCCTATCCCACTGAATCCCACACTCTTTCCTGGCCCCCATCACTGATCATATACTTATCTTTGGAAGATCTCTGGAGCTGGAAAGAAAAGCAGACTCCCCCATATATCGGCATCCTTGGGCCTCTAGTTCTTTCCCAAAACAGGTGCCATTTTGGATAATTAATTATGATCAGTACAAATTATAATCAATTTGTTTCATTTAGCCATGCAGGAATTGCAGGCAGAAGAAGCTATGCTGCCTGGTAACAAGGAGACACAGCTGTCAGTGGTTTTAGAAGATGAGGAGTCTAAACTGCCACTCCCCTCCCAAGAACTCGTGTGTGGAGAGGAGAATAGAGCAAAAGTGTTCTACAAGGGTCCTCACCAGAAAGGAACTTTGCCCTTCCAAATGAGCAATACTATTTAAGAAGAGTAGTAATGACTTCATAGTCATTAGCCATGCTATCCGGGTAACGGGAGTTACTGTCAATGTAACTGAAGGGTCCAGGATGGAAAAACCTGTCCTAAAATAATTCAAAACAGCCTATCTTCCATAAATGTTCATTGTCATCCAATGTCAGGAATGATGAGAACACCAGAAGTACATGTCCAAAGCATATTATTCCAGCATGATTAAAAACCCCAAGGCATGAAACCAAAGGTGTCATTCCCAGGTAACCAGCTAAAGTAAGCAAGCACCTATATTGGAGAGCAGTGATATAAGATACTGGAGGCAGATCATTCTTTTAGTAACAACAATAAAGGCATCATTTCATGGAAGAAGACAATGATAAGCCACACTTTTGTGGACCAAGAAAACCACATGGAGAGCCAACATGAAGTTATTGATAATACAGTGCAGGATGATGAGCCCCTTATGTTGGATGGCACTCAATATGCTATATTCAATTTGAACTTGACAGAACATAAAAGCAAGATATGCTGCTTTTCATTAGAAACTGGAAAGCCAAAGTTGGAAATATGGAGGAAAATGTGGTTGAATTGAAGAAATGAATTGAAAGAGAATGACTCAGCAATGTCTGCTAATCCAAATATTTCTTCATTGCTATCACTGTCATGAGTGACAGCACCAAATGGAGCACATGGAAATGAAACACATGACATGACTGGCACAAGGAAGTGGAAGAGCTCAGTTCCAAAGATGTGGTCAGGGGCTGCTTGAAGAACAAAGCAGGAACTACCCATGTTGCAAGTTGCATGTTAAGGTCACGGAGCAGAAAACCAATCTGTTTTTACAATATGAATTTGGGAATAATACCTACCATTTTCAAGGAGGACATCAGGAATCGTTTTGAAGTTTTGAACTACCTTGATGGGGAACAAGAAATGTGGAATAAATATAAATGTTGCTAAGGATGAATGTGAAAAGAGACTACCAAAGACCTAAAAGCAGAAGAAAGCAACTGGATATTGGAACAAACTATGGAAATAGCCAAAAAAATAAAACCAAAGCTATGAAAGACAAAAATATCAGGAAAGAAGAGAGCTTCAAACCTGTTAGAAGAGATCCAGAGCAGTATTACAATGATACCTGTAAAGACATTAAAGATGGAAGCAGACATAGAAAACAAGGTCTTTCAAACGATCTTGAGTGCAATCTCAAATTTATTCCAACCTTGAATTTGTAGGATTCTAATGGACAGATAATAACTGATTACAAACATCACATAAAGATGGAAGGATTAAAGATGTCAACATCCAAGATGTATTGGAAGATATTTGATTACATTTAGCATTAAAACATCAGATTAGATTAGCATTGTAGTCATTATCAAATCAGAAAGCTTCTGGGATTGGTGGAATTATCTTCAGAACTATGGCAAGTAACAGAGGAACCTGTAAACGATCCAACCAAACTATGCCACGTCTAGTGAGCAACAGTGGCCAACAGATTAGAAGACATTATTCTATATACCAATAAAGGAAACTCAGCAGAGTGTGCATACATAATTTCTACCTGCTAGCCAAATAATGCTTAGAATCACCCAATGTAAAATAGAGTCATGCATAGAAAGGGAGAAGCCCAACTTTCAAGAGGGGGTTAGATTGGGTTAGGTTAAATTAGATTAGAATTCTTTATTGGCCAAGTGTGACTTAACACACACAGAATTTGTCTCTGATGGGTAGAGGGACACAAAACATTTTTAATAATGCATGCTGGATAATTAAGAAAGCCAAAGAATACCAGAATCAAGGTTAATATGTGCCCACTGATTATAGAAAGGCCTTTGATCATGTAAACGTGTCAAGCCGTGCAATGGGAATCCCAGATCACCTCCTTGTTCTCATGCAAAAACCTATTGCAAGTCAAAAAGGCAGAAAATTAGCAGAAAATGAGACAAAGCTGTATACTGTCGTTTATTCAACCTACATGCTGATTAGACAGTCCGTGCGTCGTCTTGGAGAAAATTTATCTAAGTGGTCCTTAAGAGTCGACACTGATTTGATAGCGCACAATCCAATCAATTATTTTTAAAAAAGCACTGCCCACATTCTCGGGCGCCTCATTTACAGTTGATTTTGGTTCTTTCATCTTGGAGCTTGCACGCTTTCTCTCCCATCTATTGGCTGAGGCGGCTCCACGTGTCGCTCCTATGCCTTAGGCACCTCCCTCTAAACCCCACCCATTCGATTCCATTGGCCCGCTCGGGTCGCTCTATCTCCGCCCCCCGCCTCCCCCGCGCCCCTTGCGTCTTTAATCTCTTCCCTTTGCAGAGCAGCATGATGCCTCTGCCTGCGAACTCCTCCCTCCGCTCGCCGATTGGCCGAGTATTCCTCCTTCCCAACCATTCCCTTTTGACGCCGGGACGGTTCGGGGAAACGTAAGGTGGCAGCTTCGCCAACCTCCCTTCGCTTTGTCCACGTCCAAACGTTCTGGTCCCGCCCTTAGGCTCGCGCTGCGGCGGGGCAGAAAGGAGACCAGCAGGAGCGGCGGAGGTTGCGGCCGTCTCGCGCGCCAGGCCCGACGGCGAAAGCCTCCCGGAAGCGGCCGGGGCGATGGCGGCGGTGCCGACATCCCGGGGCCGTTTTCGGTGGCGGGAGGGACACTGGCCGCTGCTGGTGGTGTGGGCCATCCACTGCCTGTGCCCGCGGCCGGCGGAAGCCCTGGTGGAAGGCTTGTATTGCGGCAAGCTGGTGTGCTACGACGTGCTGGGGGTCAGCCGCGACGCCAGCAAGGCTGAAATCGCCCGGGCTTACCGGCAGCTGGCTTTGCGATACCATCCGGATCGGCAGCGGGAACCCGACCGGGATGGCAAAG